GACTGCATCTTCAGTATGGTAGCAAGATGGCTGAAATTCCAGAAATCATATCCAGACTGCAAAATATCTAAGGGCTGAAAGAGACCATCTTTTCCCAAATCTTTTGTTTGTTTTAGGAACAGAAAGATCTTTCCCAGTGATACCATAGTATTCTTTACAACCCATTGGCCAGAATTGGGTTTTATACCATGACAGAGATGTCTAATTGCTTCTGAATATCCATTTCCCCACCTCCTTTGCTAATATTGTCCTGATTTTTATCTGGGCACATAACTGGCCAGATATATTTCCTTGCCTCTCTTGAATGTATATTTGATCATATGGCTGTTGTGTCATATATCGGGGCAGTATCCTTAAAAGAGAGGTGGCACCCCTGCTTTATTCCTCTTCTTCCATTCTGATTTCTGGAATGCAGTCATGATGGCTGAAGCTTTTGCAACCATCTTGAATCATGAGGGCAAGGGTACACTCAAGACCGGTGGAGTAGAAAGATGGAAGGACTACCTACCTCCAGATAGATGAGAAAATAAAATATCTGCTCATTCCCAAATCATTTACTGACAAGAAGAACTGTTACCACCTGACTTGGAGGAAATGAATTTGGGGCACTCATAATGATCACCCCATCACTTATTTATCTAAAAATATTTTAAATTTGTCTTCTAAAAATAAATTACTATAAGGAAGCAGAAATTTCAATATCTACAGAAGAAATCACCTCATGTAACTGCTTTAGCATCTTAGTTCCAAAACTTAAAATTTCCTGGTTAGTGCAGAGAAACCTTACTTATCCTGTACCATTTAGGTTCTGATGGATTTGGGGGCAACTTATATTAAATTCAAGAAAAAATTCTTGGCTCTCTTTTCAAAGGAGTAGCCCCCACAACTCAAGATTTGCTTTTTAGCTAATTCACTTCTGCTTAATTTCAACACACAAGTTTATTAATAAAAATGTTCTTTTAGCACATCATTGTTCTACTGCATGCAAATTTCAAACTTAATATCTATAGTCTTTTCCTTAGATATCATACAAGGCTACAACTTGGTTAGCTAGCATTACCACTTTAGACTGGACACCCTTTTGAGCCTTCATTTAAGATCTTTAAGTTATCCATCTTTAAGCTATGCTCCAATTTTAAGAAAAATGATGGTTTATACTTTTTTGGGTTGTTTTGAGTTCGAGTCTTACTGTCACTGGAATGGAGTGGCACGCTGGAATGGAGTAGCACTACTGGAAAGCAGTGGCATGCTCACAGCCATTGCAGCCACCGAAGCCTCGACCAGCATGCTGGGCTCAGGCGATCCTTCCACATCAGCCTTCTAAGTAGCTGGAACTACAGGTGTGCACCACCATGCCCAGCTAATTTTTTTGATTTATTGTAGAGATGAGGTCCCGCCAAGTTGCCCAGGCTGGTCTCGAACCCCTGGATTCAGGCAATCCTCTCGCCTTGGCCTCCCAAAGTGCTGGGATTACAGGTGTGATGATTTACTCTTAAAATCTCCCCAAGGCAGAAATATCTCTACTTCATCCTAAAACCCAGTTCCAGTACTTAGTTATCTATGAGGGAGCTTTTTGAATAAAGAAGCTATGGCAGTTTCCAGTTCTGTCATCTCTGGTGTTGAAGGAGAACCCATCAGCTTTCTTCTTCTATTAACACCTCACACATTTTAAGCTAGTAAGTAACCTTTTACCAGTAAACTTTCATTTGAAGAGAATGTCTGTATCATCACTGCTTGACTATAAAATCTGTCCTACTTGGCAAAAATAGAAGCTAATTGCAAAAATAAAAACAATGGAAACACAGCAAATTAAAAAAAATTTGCAAATGAAGACATTTCTGTATGACACAGGCAACACACTTCATTTGATAAGAAATATTAATTGCAGTAGCTCCTCATGGCTTGAGTGCCCTCCCTTTTATTCCCTGACAGTATTAGCAGCTTCATTAGGCATTTCACTCAAATCTTCATGCACTTCCTGAGGGGGAGGGTTTTCCTATGTCCATGGTGGTGAGTGGAATTCTACCTGAAATCATCCAATACCTCAGCTGGAGAACTACGTCTCTAGGGGAGAATCGAGACTTTCTTTTTATTTGGTTGGAGTAGTTTCAGACTGTTTAGTAAGCCCAAGCATCACCCGAGGCATTGGCTAAAATGCACATTTCCAGGCCTTACCCAGGTCTAGACTAGAGGCCAGGAGTCTGTACTGTAAAACAGTCATGCAGTGATATTACAAACATTCTCTTTAAAGTTAAAAATAAAGTCCATAAGTAAAGCCCCAGATGATTTCAATGCAGGTAGTTTTCAGACCCTAACTTTGAGAAGCATGTGAAGAAGCATTCTTCTTTTGATGGCTGTAGTCACTCATTCATCAGTAGTTGTTGAGCTCCTTCCAGAGTGCTCTGTTACCTGGTGGGAGGCAAAGGGGCAGAGGGGTTGTGCGAAGTCTCAAGGTTCAATGTTCAGTACCTTATCTGATTGTGAAATGAGGTACTCTAGGAGTCTAGGGTTGGGAAGGCCATTGTGGCTGCGGTTGTGAGGAGAAAGCTCCTTGGAGCCAGATTGGAAGGACCTGGAGATTTTTCTAGGAGGAAAGAGGATGGAATCAGAGAAGTGTTGGGGGCCAAATCAGCCTGAACTCGAAGTTCTAGGTGAAAAGTACTTTACGCTGGGGCAGTGAGCTGTTACTCAAGGTCTTCTGCACAGAGCCACGAGGATAGCTCGGTTTTAGGGAGAGTAATAACCTGGCGTTGATGTTAAGGATAGATCTGGTGGTGTCAAAGGCACAGCGACCAATAAACTCACTAATGGTGCGCACCTACGAAGATAAAGCCGAGGAATGGCGAGATTATGGAAACACTGGATTTATTTGTAGGGAGAGGGAAGGAAGTGAGAAGGCATCCGAGATGACAGGTGTTCCTGCAAAAACGAGAGCACTTTTCTTTCTTTCTTGTTGAGCTGGAGTCTCACTCCGTCGCCCAGACTGGAGTGCAGTGGCCGCTCCCGGCCACCGCAGCCTCGACCTGCTGGGCTCCGGCGATCCTTCCGCCTCAGCCTTCTAAGTAGTTGTAACTACAGGCACGCGCTACCACGCCCGGCTGATTTTTTATTTATTGTAGAGATGAGGTCTCGCCAAGTTGCCCAGGCGGGTCTTGAACCCGCGGGCTTAGGCAATTCACTTACCTCAGCCTCCCAAAGCGCGGGATTACAGACCAAGCCACCCAGCCCGGTGACAGCACTTTTCAAAGACAAATCTCCGCAGAGGAAATCTTAGACAATTCCTCGAACCGGCGTAGGGAGCTCAGTTCATTATCCCTTGTTAGAATCTCTCTCTCTTTTTTTTTTTTTTTTTGAGCCGGAGTCTCACTCTGTTGCTCAGGCTGGAGTGCAGTGGCACACTCATGGCCACCGCAGCCACGACCTGCTGGGTGCAGGCGATCCCTCCGTTTCAAGCTTCCAGGTGGCTGGAACCACAGGCATGTAGAGACGAGGTCTCGCCATGTTGCTCAGGCTGGTCTCGAACCCCTGAGCTTAAGCAATCCTCTCGCCTCGGCCTCCCAAAGTGCTCGGATTACAGGCTTGAACAACCGCGCCAGCTAGTCTCTCTGAAATAGAACCACCTTCTTCACAGCTCTCAGATGCTATTACCTACTAATAACCCCCCCCCCCCACGAAGCTGGATGGAATAGGCCCAAGCCGCTGCCCACTGTGGCGACCTTGAACTTCCTCAGGCGACGCAGCTCTCGCTGCCAAGTGGTTTCCAAACTTTCTGCACAGTGGGATCACCAGGGGACGAGGAAAAAAGGCCCAGGCCTCCCCTCCACACCTAACGTGCGGCAAAGCTTGGAACCCGTTGGTCCAGCCACATCACCGGCGTCCCCCAAACCCCAGATCCTCCCGCCCTGCGTCCCGGGGGTGCGCGCGGAGGGCCCGGACCCCGGCGGGCCGGTGGCCGGGCCTCGGTC